ACAAGTTACGGCCATGGTGCTTCAAATGCAAGAGCTATGGCCACTTATGTACAAACGACTCTTGCCCGGTACACCCCGCCCTTAGGGTCAGGACCACGGGACGGCTGCAGCGGAATCCTTTTAGAACCAACCTGTGGCACTCGGTGGACCCAGGCCATGAGGGGTGGATCTATGTGGAAGAGTCCTAGAGGGGAGGGGCACTAATGGGCTGGGAGTGGGAAGGCACCGGGGAAGCCAACTAGGATACCCGTCCCCCAAACCCTTGGAGGTAAGAATGAAGGAAGGGGGCCAAGGGGTGGGGCAGGGACAACAGAGTTCGCAAAACACACAATCCAAGAAGGGAGACCGGGGGAGGGAGGCGGATTGGACCACGGTGCAACCCAAGAGAAAGCGAGCTACTCTGCAACTGGGCAATGGAGGCATTGGAAGGGCGTCCCTAGAAAGGCAGAGGAGGAAGCTGGTGGTCCAGAGATGCCAAGATGAATATCCGAAGAAGGGGACCTCATTGGAAGGGGCCCGGAGGGGAAAGGATGGGGCTGACAAGGAAACCAAGGATGAAGGGGAGGAAGCACGACCGCCTCCGCTGGCTCAGCAGAAGGACGGCACACGGGCGCGGGAGGACCCCTCAGTTGAACCGTCTAGTTCGCAGAGCACAGACCCATTCGTGGACGCCTTCGGCCCGTGCCACATGGAGGTGGAAAAAGAGGACATCTCGGAAACAAGAACCGGTAAGGACCCCCATGCCCCCCGGATGTGGTAATGACAGACGCAGCAGCGTATCAGACATTTGAGCCGACTCCGCTACACATCAAACTCGAATCCTTGGCAGATTGGTTGATGCAGAGCCTGCAGCTTCGGTACACCGGCCTCCCCACAAATTTTTGGGACAGCGCGTATCGAGAGTTTGTTTCGATGCTAGAAGGGAGTGACAGTCTGCGCACAACTCTAGAGAATGGTCCGCCACAAGGCCATCAGTGACCGGAAAGTCTGCAGAAGGTGTATTATGTTGTAAATAGGCGGTTCTGTCCGCCAGGCCCGCCCACATATAATCAACATATGTCCCAAGACATGGTATCGATGACCCAACACCGAGACACCCCTCAAGATGAAGCGGGTCTGGGTGCACAGCACGATTTACCGTCCATTGACACAGAACCTTAGGAACCCCCAACCAGCACCTAGAGCTGTCTCTTATACACATCTAGATGTGTATAAGAGACAGACTCTAGAGAATGGTCCGCCACAAGGCCATCAGTGACCGGAAAGTCTGCAGAAGGTGTATTATGTTGTAAATAGGCGGTTCTGTCCGCCAGGCCCGCCCACATATAATCAACATATGTCCCAAGACATGGTATCGATGACCCAACACCGAGACACCCCTCAAGATGAAGCGGGTCTGGGTGCACAGCACGATTTACCGTCCATTGACACAGAACCTTAGGAACCCCCAACCAGCACCTAGAGTGACAAGGGGGGGGGGGGAGGGCACGGACCTAATGTCCCTTGATCCCCGTACACCGGGGAAATCATCCCCCACTAGAGGCACGACGCAGGAAGAAGGGAACCCAGGTGGGACCGTAGATGGCTCCAGGGACAACCACAAGGATGGAGAGCAGGGCCCAGAGGGAGATTCCCCGACCCAACACTTGAGAGACAAGTGCGGTAAACAGAGACACGCGATGGAATAGAGTAGATACCAGGAATACCCTACTCTTAACGGGGTGCTGATGTTACCACTGCCGAAGAGGAAAGGAAGATGGGAATTGGGCTTAGCATTACCTCCGGCCCATAAAAAGTATGGGGGGTTAACCTTGACAGGCTCGGACCCCCTTATTGCCAGGCTGCCTGCACACATGAAAGATACCTTGCTAGAGGAAGAAATCAACATCCACATCCAAAAGTCATTCGTATCAGGAGCGTGTGACACGCAACCTCACGCCCCCTCGCAGCTTCCCGTACGGGGTCGCCGATCAGAGTTCTAGGAGGGGCGTGGCCAAGGATTTTTGGCCGTAAGGGCTGAGTCTCCCGGACGGAACGGGAGACCCTCGTTTCGTGCAAGAGGTTTTCCCCGGAGTCGAACTGTCGTCGCGGAGTCCCGTGGGGGTCGGATCACTCCGAAACGATAAAATCAAGAAAGGTTTCCGCAAAAATGAACTGCCGTCATGCATCGGGACAGAAAAAGGCATCAAGGGGAGAGGGCCATGGCGGCGGAGGACAAAACTTCGGCCGTCAGGGGTTTGGGGGATAGGTGGCGGGTTCGAAGCCTTCAGGCCTCATCATCGGCCTCACAAAGTGGCTGAACCCTCGAGTCTTTGCTGCGGAGGTGGTTGGTTCGAGGCCTTCAAGCCTCGGCGTCGGACTCACAGAGTCCGCGCGGAAGTTTCTGGGAGGGTAAAGCAGCGGGAGGACTCGCCGGCATCTGAATTCGAAATTGCGCGGGCAGCGCCCCCACACTACGGGAAAGCTCGGGGAAACGTGTCGCTCCCTCGTAACCCAGGACCAGCCGTCGCCAAGAACACGAGTCCCCCTGGCGACACCAGTGACAATCTAACTGCGGCTGCCACACGGCGTGAGCGACTGACCAGGGCAACACCCTCAAACCCGTATAAGGCAATATTAAAGTCGGGGAATCAATCAAAACAAACACATTCCCCCTTATCTCACAAGCTCGAGGCGGGTCCTGCCAACACACTTGCTCCGTCCGCCTCAGCGCGCGTCGTACGTCCACATCGCAATAGACGCTGTCGTCATCTGCGATGGGGAAGGTCGGTAGCAAGATGAGACGATCGGAGGTACGTGATGAACACGGGCAAGGTCCCGCGTTCCCGGTCATCCGAACCAACACCGAATCCATACAACAGTCGTCGCAACTCCTCTCTCCCCTCGCGGGGGCGTCGACCGTCCGCGCGGACGCAAGCGGTTGACGTCATCGGTACGGGGGCGAGAAGCTCCAAAAGTGAAAACTATCAGTTCAAAAAGGAAAGCATTAGAGAGAGAGAGAGAGAGAGAGAGAGAGAGAGAGAGAGAGAGAGAGAGAGAGAGAGAGAGAGAGA